CGTGGTGGTGGGCACCTGTAATCCCAACTACTGTGGAGGCTGAGGCAGGAGAATCTCTTGAACCCAGGAGGCAGAGGTTGCAGTGAGCTGAGATTGTACTGTTGCACTCCAGCCCAGGTGACAGTGTGAGACTCCATCTCAAAAAACAAAACAAAAAATTGTGGAGTCTTCCAGAGAACTAAGAGGAACTTTTATGCTTCTGTTGCTTTTACAGTCCAAAAGCTTTCCCATATTTAATACTATTAGCGACCTCTTCCTATGTCAAACTATTTCTGCCTCCTTTTTTTCCACTTTTATTTTTGAATGAACAAATTGAGGGCATACTAAGCTTTCAAAATAGCTTTGTTACAAAAGCTTAAAAAGCACTTTGATGGAATAATAGACATTGGAAACTCTGAAAGGTGGGACCCTGGAAAGGAGAGTGAGTGTTAAGAAGTAACCTAATGGGCACATTGTATGTTTCTCGGTAATGGTTACATAGAAAGCACAGACTCCACCACACCACCACGCAATGTATCCAGGCGACAAAACTTCTGTCATACACCCTAAATCTATAAAAGTCATTTTCTTAAGAAGCATTTTGAATAAATTTTGGTATTTTTGTTATTGCATTGTTTTGCTTGATAAAAGTATCTTTAAAACAAGGGAAATGCTTTCTCATTCCCTCATGTAACTCTTAAAAAGTAGTCACACGTATACAAAGTAGGAGATATGGTAAAATAAAAATTAGATTGCTACAAATATAAATTATTTTTCTTTTTTTGATGAAATAAATAAAAGTTGGGAGAAAATACAAAAGAAAATTAATGGGAAAATGTTACTATGTATTTATTTAATAATGGAGCTACCCATTTGCAGTGTTATAACAGGAACAGAAAATTTTTGAAAATTAATGTACATGTTTGTAAATTTTATAATGGATCTTTCTGTTTTGACCTCCAACAATGAACAGTTCACTCGATTTCTCTGTCCTCTTTTTTTTTCCTGTGTGATTCTATCTTTATGTAACCTGTGGCTTTACAAATGTTTTTCTTGGTGTTATAAAGACAAGATAGCATTGAAAAGAGAGAGCAAGGAAAACAACCTACAGGGACTGCGGAGCTGCCACATTCGCCCAGAATGTCTTTATCATATCCTCAAATGCAGGTGGGATAACACTACCCTCCTTTGAGAAACTCACATCTCTCAGAAGGTTTTTGGCTATCAATAGTGTTTTTGTATATTCTAGTTCTGTTTGCGTGGGGGAGATTTTTTTTTTTTTAACCAGTATTAGTTTATTCTTCCTAATAATGAATGTCTGAGAAATGTTTGTGATAGATACAGCATAGTCCAAAAGTTGAAGTTTATTAATAATTGGAACGTTGTGGAGTATGAAGTAATGAATACTAATTACTCCTTTCATGTCTGACAGCTCCCTGTGGACCAATACATCAGCCCAGACTTTAATTTGCCTCGAGTAATGGTTTCATCAATAGCACATTAAATCTGTGTGTGAGAAGATATACAGGTGAACCTGGCCCACACAGTAGATACCACTGTCATAAAATGGCCGCAGGCCAACGACAGCTTGGTAATTACAAATAATTAAATCCACCAAGCTCCAGACAATCCTAATTTTAAATAAAATATATTTTATCATATCAATCGACAAGAAAACATATCTGGAAAGATTTATCAACATGTAATTTTTCCAAAGCAAATTTACTGGCTTACGTATTAGAGAAGTTGCTGATCTGTGAAGCATCTTCATAAAATTATCTCTTTAGTCTTTCAAATACTCCTAAATATTATTGAAATAATTTTTGAAAGACTGGAGTAACTTTACTGCAAGATATATTTCAGATTGGAGTATATAAATATATTTTTTAAAGATATTTTATGCTTAATTCTATATTTACTTTTTATACAATTCTTTTTTATCACGCACTGGGGTACATGTGCAGGTTTGTTACTTAGGTATACATATGCTATGGTGGTTTGCTGTACCCATCAACATGTCATCGTAATAGGCTTTAAGTAGCATGCCCTAGAAAGGAACTTAAAATTGGCTACTAGAAATATTAGCTGTATGAGTTAAAAAATTATTTTTATAGAAATAATATACAAAGAGGGAGATGACATTTTATAGATATTTATTTTATAATGACTAGGTTTCCTGAAAGTTATGTTAAGGTTAAGAAGAAGAATTGCTTTCAGTTAGCAAGTTTTGAGTTTATTAACTCTTATTATGTTGCTGTTCTTGAAGTTGATGCCATGCAATTATATTAGAGTTGACTATTGATCTATTCAAATGAGGCCTTAGGTGAGACTTAAGGCATAACCATGTTATACTGAACCCTACAGTGTAGTAGAATGTACTCTCTTGAGTTGGAAGCTTATGGATTTTTTTCTTTTTCTTTTTCTTTTTGAAATGGTGTCTTGCTCTGTCGCCCAGGCTGGAGTGCAGTGGCACGATCTCGGCTCACTGCAACCTCCGCCTCTTAGCTTCAAACGATTCTCCTGCTTCAGCCTCCCGAGTAGCTAGGACCTGCAGGTGCCCACCACGACGCCCGGCTAATTTTTGTATTTTTAGTAGAGATGGGGTTTTACCATATTGGTCAGGCTGGTCTTGAACTCCCGACCTCATGTGATCCGCCTGCCTTGGCCTCCCTAAATTCTGGGATTACATACATGAACCACCGTGCAGAGCCTAGCTTATAGATTTTAAATAAACTGTAGAGTTGTGTAGTTCTCTCATTATTTCCCTTGCAGTTAAGAATAGATTTATTTTCAAGTTCATTCATGCTCTCCTATAATCGAATTCAGCATTCTAGTCTCTCCTAATTTCCAAATTCAAAATAAAATTTAATTCCCACAAATCTCCAACAGCTTTTCTATTCCTAAATTTAGTAAAGGTTTTTGTTTGTTCGTTTGTTTCTTAATAGTGTAATCTCTAGCGTCTGCAGATAAAGCAGCCTCACATTCACAGTCATCTTGGAAATAGCTGTTTGACTTTATCTGAAAATAAGTACCAAACAGGTCTTCAGATTAAGAATCATCAGATTCTTTTCTTTTTGAAAAAACAATCTTCCAATAAAAAAGTGAATGAAATTTTCTTTGTTTCTGCTGCTACGTTATGTGTTTAAAATGGATATGTTGAAGGATGTGTATGTGTGTATCAAAGGAGAAACAGTCTACTTATGACTTGCTTTTTTAATTTTGGGGTTTTTTTTTTTTTTTGTATAATGTTACTTGGATTCCTGAAACACCAATATTATTATTTTTTTTAATTCTGGTTGAAATTTGCTTTTATCTTAGAAGGACATGTTGTTTATATTAACTGTATGAAGCAACAAGACAATTAACTCATTTCTCTTCAGGGTTTTCTTCCCGCCTTTTCTTGAACGTTCTTGCCAGCTGTGCAGCTTTCAACCAAAACCTTTCTTCAGGAAACGGGTTTGACCAACTTGCACAGTCCTTCCTGCTGAGGTTGCTAAGTAACAACTCCCCTCTTGTGGTCTGCCACGTTTGCTACACCTGATCTTTCCCACTGCACTCTTGACTGTAGCTGTTGGAACTCCCAAGTCTAATCCAGAAGCTTTTAATTTTAAACAGCAGGATGTACAGTAAGGCTTTTAGATGTCCACTGAAAAGTTTATTTCTTCTCCTATATGTGTTTCCCTGCCCCACCCCCCCGCAAACTGGTGGGCTATATTACTTGCTTATCTTAAAAAACACCTACTATCTCTTTACCTTGACAAAATGGCTCGTTGAAGCCTCCGGAATGGAGTGTCTCCTATTCAGAGAATATGTTAGCTATCTGAATTGTCCAACTTAGAGTGAGAACCTTCGATATAATAATGCAATATCTTAGGAAATATCTGTCCAAACAGCAGATTTTGCAAATCTTTTGAAGAGATTCCTACTGTAGCCATTTCCAGTAAATACTCTGGTCTGAAACAGTAGTAAATCTTCATTCCAAATTAAATATGTTGCTTTCCATGTTTGATTTTAGATGGCAGTGAAAAATAGTGATGGTGTTTGTTCAGGTACTCAGAATATCTGATAACTAAATAAATGCATTTCGGTTTTTATAATCCAAAACTGCAGGCATTTCCAACAGTATGCTAAGTCTTGAGAATAGTTCCAATAAAAGTAAAAGGGATGTTCTTCGTTTTCAGATGAAGATTTTAGAAATAAGAATTTCAGATTCTAATCTCTAAACTGAAATTCTTATCTTGGTTATATTAAAATAATGGTTCCTTGCCCAGCTCACTGAGATTCTGGATTTCAGGAAAGTGATCATTGGGACCAGTGTTTGGATTGTTCTATCACAGAAGTACTTTGAAAACTAGCCAAGAAATCATTCCCGTGTGTGTGTGTGTGTGTGTGTGTGTGTGTGTGTGTGTGTACATATGTATATGTATATGTGTGTATATGTGTATATATATACACATATATCTGTGTGTATATACATATGTGTGTGTGTGTGTATATATATATATACACACACACATATATATATATATCACTTTAAGTTCTGGGGTACATGTGCTGAATGTGCAGGTATGTGACATAGGTATGTATGTGCCATGGTGGTTTTGCTGCCCTCATCAACCTGTCATCTACATTAGGTATTTCTCCTAATGCTATCCGTCCCCTAGCCCCCTACCCCTGACAGGCCCTGGTGCGTGATGTTCCCCTCCCTGTGTCCTTGTGTTTTCACTGTTCAACTCTCACTTAAGTGTGAGAACATATGGTGTCTGGTTTTCTGTTCTTGTGTATGTTTGCTGAGAATGATGGTTTCCAGTTTCATCCATGTCCCCACAAAGGACATGAACTCTTCCTTTTTATGGCTGCATAGTATTCCATGGCACATATGTGCCACATTTTCTTTATTTGGTCTATAATTGATAGACATTTGGGCATTTGAATTGGTTCCAAGCCTTTGCTATTGTAAACAGTGCCGCAGTAAACATACGTGTGCATGTGTCTTTATAATAGAATGATTTATAATCCTTTGGGTATATACCCAGTAATGGGATTGCTGGGTCAAAGGGAATTTCAATTTCTAGATCCTCGAGGAATTGCCACGCTGTCTTTCACAATGCTTGAACTAATTTACACTCCCACCAACAGTATAAAAGCGTTCCTATTTCTCCACATCCTCTCCAGCATCTGTTGTTTCCTGACTTTTTAATGATAACCATTCTAACTGGCGTGAGATGGTATCTCATTGTGGTTTTGATTTGCATTTCTCTAATGATCAGTGATGTTGGGCTTTTTTTTCATGTTTGTTGACAGCATAAATGTCTTCTTTTGAGAACTGTTGGTTCATATCCTTTGCCTACCTTTTGATGTAGTTGTTTCTTTTTTTCTTGTGCATTTGTTTAAGTTCTTTGCAGATTCTGGATATTATGATAGATTGCAAAAATTTTCTCTAATTCAGTAGGTTGCCTTTTCACTCCGATTATAGTTTTTGTTGTTGTTGTTGTTGTTGCTGTGCAAAGCTCATTAGTTTAATTAGACCCCATTTGTCAGTTTTGGCTTTTGTTGTCATCGCTTTTGGTGTTTTAGTCATTAAGTCTTTGCCCATGCCTATGTCCTGATTGGTATTGCCTAGCTTTTATTCTAGGGTCTTCATGGTTTTAGGTGTTACATTTAAGTCTTTAATCCATCTGGAGTTAATTTTTGTGTAAAGTATAAGGAAGGGATCCAGTTTCAGTTTTCTGCATGTGGCTAGCCAGTTTGCCCAACACCATTTATTAAACGGGGAATCCTGTCCCCATTGCTTGGTTTTGTCATGTTTGTCAAAGACCAGATGGTTGTAGATGTGTGGTGTTATTTCTGTAGCCTCTGTTCTGTTCCATTGATGTATATATCTGTTTTGGTGCCTGTACCATGCTGTTTTGATTACTGTAGGCTTGTAGTATAGTTTGAAGTCAGGTAGCATGATGCCTCCAGCTTTGTTCTTTTTGCTTAGGATTGTCTTGGCTATGTGGGCTCTTTTTCGGTTCCATATGAAATTTAAATTGGTTTTTTCTAATTCTGTGAAGAAAGTCAATGGTAGCTTGCTGGGAATAGCATTGAATTTATAAATTACTTTGGGCAGTATGGCCATTTTCACGATATTGATCCTTCCTATCCATAAGCATGGAATGTTTTTCCATTTGTTTGTGTCCTCTGTTATTTCTTTGAGCAGTGGTTTGTAGTTCTCCTTGAAGAGGTACTTCATGTCCTTTGTTGTTTTCCTAGGTATTTTATTCTCTTTGTAGCAGTTGTGAGTAGGGGTTCACTCATGATTTGGCTCTCTGTTTGTCTGTTGTTGGTATATAGGAATGCTTGTGAGTTCTGCACATTGATTTTGTATACTGAGACTTTGCTGAAGTTACTTATCAGCTTAAGGAGATTTTGGACTGAGATGATGGGGTTTTCTAAATATACAATCATGTCATCTGCAAACAGAGACGATTTGACTTCCCCTCTTCCTGTTTGAATACCCTTTATTCATTTCTTTTGCCTGATTTCCCTGGCCAGAACTTCCAATACTGTGTTGAATAGGAGTGGTGAGAGTGGGCATCCTTGTCTTGCACTGGTTTTCAAAGGGAATGCTTCCAACTTTTGCCCATTCATTATGATATTGGCTGTGGGTTTGTCATAAATAGCTCTTATTATTTTCAGATACACTCCATTAGTACCTAGTTTATTGAGAGTTTTTAGCATGAAAGGGTGTAGAATTTTGTCAAAGGCATTTTCTGCATCTGTTGAGATAATCATGTGATTTTTGTCATTGGTTCTGTTTATGTGATGGATTACATTTGTTGATTTGCATATGTTGAGCCAGCATTGCATCCCAAGGATGAGGCCAACTTGATTGCGGTGGATAAGCTTTTTGATTTACTATTGGATTTGGTTTGCCAGTATTTTATGGAGGATTTTTGCATCGATGTTCATCAGGGATTTTGGCCTGAAATTTTCTTTTTTTTGTTGTGTCTCTGCCAGGTTTTGTTATCAGGATGATGCTGGCCTCATAACATGAGTTAGGAAGGCATCCTCTTTTTCTATTGTTTGGAATCGTTTCAGAAGGAATGGTACCAGCTCCTCTTTGTACCTCTGGTAGAATTCAGCTGTGAATCCACATTCCTAAGTGTTTTTAATGTAATTTCCATAGCTATTCTCCACAACAGTAATGACTTGCCATGACTTTTGGTCCCAGGACACTCACTTTTTATCTGGGTTTTGAATAAACATTGAAAGCATTTTGATACTCCCAGTGTACCTGGCTTTTATGCAAATCTAATGTTTGTAAGGTTATTTTATAGATCATACCTATTTGAAGATGGCTGTCATTATTATAAAATCATTTGGTTAACTAGCGAACATTTTGGCACACTTAATACCTTTTCATTTCCTGAGAGCTAAACAACAGAAAATTTTTATGTAAATTGAGTGATGTATTGTAAAAGTATTATGAATTAAGTAATTCAGTTTATGACTCTTTTGACCATAAATTAAAGATCTTAGATTAGGAATTGATACTTCAGTAGTTGGTGCTATTCTCCTTCATAAACAAGGACAGAATTTCTGACCAGAGACCAACCAGCAGGGCGTGTGCTGTGAACTGTGTCTGTTTTTCTCTAGTGGCCGTAGATTAGTAGTGAGTCAGTCATATTCTCTCAGTACCCTCTTATGATAGAAAGCCAGGCAGGTTGACAGAGGCTGACATTACAGGCTGCCACTGTCAGAGCAAATTAGCCTGCAATGTTATGCAGTGAGATGAACTTCATACTAGGAGTCTAGAGACCCAGGTTCTAGTCCCAGCTCTGCCACTAACCTAAGCGACCTTGGCAAGCCATAAACTCTTTAGGCTCATAAAAAGAAATCAGTTGAATAACCTTTAGTGGTCCTTCTTGGTCTAAAATTATGCTCTGCTAGATGAAACAGCATGTTTTTCACTCACCCCATATCCTAGCCAATTAAACCAGGGTATTTGTACTCAGAAAAATAGTTTTATTTCTGTTCTGAGATTGCATAATCAGCCTCTCACCTCCAAACCAGCAAATCTCAGCCAGTGGAAAGAGAGAGGAGGAGCTCACTCCTGTAGAGGAACATATAAAAACCCGATGGGAGCAGCCCCATGCCAAATTTGGAGATTCACACCCGCTTGATTCTCAGTATGATGCAGTGACAAGGGCTGGTGTGTTTTGTTCCTCCTGGGAGTGGAGCTGGAAGATGGATTAAGAACCTCTGTTTTAAGAACACAACCACACTTCCAAGTTTTATGTTGCTCTTCACACCTGCTGTTGCTCCTCCTTGGAGTTTAAGTTCAAGAGCTCATAGCTACCTTCAGTCTTCTAGAAGTCATAACCTCTGGATTCATGTCTTTCACAGAAACAACAAAGTGATTCTGTTTACTTTTCCCACCCCTCTGGTTAACTTTGTTGCTTTTTGATCCTTCAAATCATGAGAGAGCATTAGCAGTCTGTTTAATTTTCCCAGACAGGAAATTAACCAAAAATTAATTTAGCAGCAATGATAAAACCCACTGAGTCATTATATAATTTTTGCCTTTCATAGATCATAAACACCCCAATTGAGGATAATTTACTATCCCTGGGAAATCTAAACATATCAAATAATGTTTCAGAGCAAGATGTAAAACCCAATTTTATAGGCAGACATCCTTCTCCTTTCCATCAGCATAGCAGCATCTCCCTCCTCTCTATTAACCTCTCTTTTCACAGAGAAAATCAGACCTGTTCCCCAAGCAGGTAGATTTCTGCTTTTCAAACTGGAATCTCTGAATGCTTTAGGGTCTGTGTAGATATGCAAGAGAGATACAGAGCAAGGGAGTCATCCATGAGGCATCTTATGGAGGTTAACTCAGATATTTGGTTAAATAAACATTTAACCAGTTGAAAGCTTCTGTTGGTGTGGTGCGGTGGCTCACACCTGTAATCCCGGCACTTTGGGAGGCCAAGCTGGGTGGATTACCTTAGGTCCAGAGTTTGAGACCAGCCTAACCAACAAAGTGAAACTTTGTCTCTGCTAAAAATGCAATTATTAGACAGGCATGGTGACAGGTGCCTGTAGTCCCAGCTACTTGGTAGGCTGAGACAGGAGAATTGCTTTAACCTAGAAGTGGAGATTGCAGTGAGCTGAGATAGCGCCACTGCACTCCAGCCTGGGCGACAGAGCGAGACTGTGTTTAAACAAACAAACAAACCAACAAACTTCCGTCATTTGCACCCAGAAGCAAAATTGTGAGAACCTCATGCTTTCTGATGACTAGTCTCACACATTTATTCTTGAAACCCTAGAAGAAGGAGCATGGTTATGTATAGTGGCTAACTGAAAAAATTAGCTGCTATTGTTTTGAGAAGAGATTACACTAATACTGTTAGCTGATGTGATCCTCTAGAGTGGCAGTGGAGAAATGGCCTGTTTCAATGCAACCCAGGAGCCAGGAATGGTTTTCAAAGGATTGGAAACAAGAAGAATATGTGGCAGAGATGGATGTGACCCACAAAGCCTAAAATATTTACTCTCTGATCCTTTTGCAGAGAAAATTTGTCAGCCCCTGCTCTAGAAAGATTTTTCATTGAAGCCTAAACACCTGCTACTTTAAAAAATAAGTTAATCATCTTGCTGGTGGTTTGTTTTGCTTCTCATGCTTATGTGAATACACACAAACACATACATACCACACAAATCTCAAAACTAACCTGACTTGTTACCAGTTCCTAATCCCATCACAGTGAACTGTCCCATTGAACAAAAACAAAAATTCTAGACTTCTCTGATTCAGTGTTTTTGACTTAAATTTTTTATTTAATTTTTAATTATCAAAATGTATAAATTCTCTTTTCATCTGAGAATATATGTTAGTGGTTGAATCAGGAAGTTTACGAAGTATGAACATAAACCAGGTGAAAATTCTTAAGCAAATGAAGAAAAGTTAAAAAATCCTGGAATTTCGCTGAGATTTTCCACAAGGAGAGGTATGAACCCAAGGTAGTGTGGCAATCAAAAGATCGCAGGATGAGCTGGGCATGGTGGCTCACGCCTGTAATCCCAGCACTTTGGGAAGCCGAAGCAAGTGGATCACCTTAAGTAAGGAGTTCAAGACCAGCCTGGCCAACGTGGTGAAATTCCATTTCTACTAAAAAGTAAAAAAAAAAAAAAATTAGCTGGGTGTGGTGGTACACACCTGTAATCCCAGCTACTTGGGAGGCTGAGGCAGGAAAATCTCTTGAATCTGGGAAGCAGAGGTTGCAGTGAGCCAAGATCATGCCACTGCACTTCAGCCTGGGCAACAGAGTGAGACTCCATTGCAAAAAACAAAACTCAACAGGATGTACGCAGAGGTATATTTAAAATATAACTTTTATTGTAGAGATGTTACTATCTCTTATGTGTGAGAACCCTAGGCCCTAACTAGATGAAACCTTCACTCTTGAAATTTCATTTAAATGTCAGTCAGTACATCAAAATGATATTAATAGGGGACCTCGGCACCTTACTTTCAGCAATGGACAGAACATATAGATAGAAAATAAAGAAACGTCAGAGTTAAACCACACTCTAGACCAAATGGACCTAAAAGATGTTTAGGTCCATTCCACCCAATAGCGCAGAATATACATTCTTCTCATCAGCAAATGCAACTTTCTCCAGGATAGGTCATATGTTATCCCACAAAATAAGTTCCATCAAAAAGTTTTACAAAATTGAAATTATGTCAAGTCTTTTTTGTGACCACAACAGAATAAAACTAGAAATCAATAATGGGAGAAACTTTGGAAACTATACAAACACTTGGAAATCGAGTGATATACTCCTAAACAACAAATGGGTCAAAACAGAAAAAGGAAATTAAAATAGACTTCTTGCTAGGAGTGGTGTCTCAGCCTGTAATCCCAACACTTTGGGAGGCCGAGGCAGGCGGATCACGAGGTCAAGAGATCGAGACCATCCTCGCCATGATGAAACCCCGTCTCTACTAAAAATACAAAAATTAGCCGGATATGGTGGCACGTGCCTGTAGTCCCAGCTACTCTGAAGGCTGAGGTGGAAGAATCACTTGAACCCAGGAGCTAGAGGTTGCAGTGAGCCGAGATTGTGCCACTGCACTCCAGCCTGGCAACAGAGCAACACTCCGTCTCACATAAAATAGACTTCTTGAAAGAAAAATGGAAGCACAACGTGCCAAAACCTATGGACACAGAAAAGCATTTTAAGAGGAAAGTTTAATAATATTAAAAGCATCTCAAACTACCCATAGTTATGCCTCAAGAATCTAAAAAAACAAGAACTAAACCCAAAATTAGTAGAAGAAATGAAATATCAGAATAGAAATAACAAAAGACTAAAAAAAATACAAAAGATCAACAAAATAATTGGTTTTTTGAAAAGATAAAATTACCTATAATTCCAATACTTTGAGAGGCCAAGGCAGGAGGATTGCTTGAGGACAGGAGTTCAAGATCAACCTGGTCTACATAGACTCTTTCTATAAAAATGTTTTGAAATTATAAAATAGCCAGGCATAGTGATGCATGCCTATAGCTCTAACTACTTGGAGGCTAAGGCAGTGGGATAGATTGAGACTTGAAGTTCAAGGTTGCAGTGAGCTATGATCACACCACTGCACACCAGTCTAGCACTCTAGCCTGAGTGATAGAGTGAGGTACTGTCCCACAAAGCAAATAAAAACATAAGATCAACAAACCTCTACTTAGACTTAAATTTTAATAAGTTTCAAATCAGAGATGAAAAAACATAACTGATACCACAGTAATAAAAATAGACTGTTATGAACAACTATATGCCAACAAAATAGAAAACCTAGAACTGGATAAATTCCTAGACATGTACAACCTATCAAAATTAAATCGTGAAGAAATAGAAAATCGGAACAAACTAATAATGAGTAATGAGGTTGAATCAATAGTCAAAAGTGTCCCATCAAAGAAAAGCCTAGGACCTGATGCATTTACTGCAGAATTCTACAAAACATTTAAAGAAGTAATACCAATCTTTTTTAGACTATTAGAAAAAAAAGAAGAGGGAGTTCTCCCAAACTAAGTCCAGGATCACCCTGATACTAAAATCAGATAAAGACACACACAGAAATCTATGGGCCAATATGCCTGATAAACATAGATATAAAAACCTTCAACAAAATAAGAGCAATCAAAATTCAATAGCACATTAAAAAGATCATTCATCATGACCAAGTGGAATTCATTCTGGGAACACAAGGGTGGTTCACCATCCACAAATCAATAAACATGATACATCGCATTAACAGAATCAAGGGGAAAAAATGCGGTTGTTTCAGTCAACACAGAAAAAGCTTTGATGAAAATCAAGATCTTTTTACAATGAAAATTCTCAACAAATTGTGTATGGATGGACCATACCTCAAAACAATAATGGCTGTATATGACAAACCCACAGCTAACATATTGAACAGGAAAAAACTGAAAACTTTTCCTGTAAAATCTGAAACAAGACAAGAATGCTCACTTTCACCACTTCTGTTTAACATAATACTGGACGTTCTAAACAGCAAGTAAACGAGAAATAAAGGGCTCCAAATTGGACAGGAGAAAATCATATTATCCCTGTTTACAAATGATTATATGTATAGAAGGCCCTAAAGACTCCTCCACCAAAAAAAAAAAAAAACAAAAAAAACACAAAAAAACCACACCTGTTAGCACTAATAAATTCAGTAAAGTTGCAGGATAAAAAATCAACGTACATAAATCAATAGTATTTTTGTAAACCAATATTATCTGAAAATTGCAATTCCAATTACAAAAGCTACCAAATTAAAAACCTCAGAAATTTAAGCAAGGAGATGAAAAATCCTTAGAAAACTATAAAACATTGATGAAATAAATTGAAGTGGACACAAATAAATGGAAATATATTTCCTGTACATGGATTGAAAGAATTAACATAGCTAAAATGTCCATACTACCCAAAGTGATCTACAAATTCAGTGTAATCCTTGTGAAAACACCAATGACTTTTTTCACAGAAATAGGAAAAACAACCCCAAAATTTATATGGAATTAGAGAAGACTACAAATAGTCAAACCAATCTTGAGCAAAAAGAACAAAACTAGAGGCATCACACTGCCTGAAGTCAAAGTATATTACAAAGCTGTGTAACCAAAACAGCACGGCAATTGCATAAAAACAAACACATGGACAGATGAAACAGGATAGAAAACCCGGAAGTAAATCTACACACTTACTGCCAACTGCTTTTCAGCAAAGGTACCAAGAATACATGTTGTCAAAGAACAGTCTCTTCAATAAATGGTGCTGGAAAAATGATATCCACATGCAGAAAGATGAAACTAGATGCCTATTTCTCATCAACTACGAAAATCAACTCAAAGTGGATTAAAGACTTAAATGTAAGACCTGAAACCATAAAACTACTAGAATAAAACGTTGGGGAAATGCTTCATAACATTGGCCTGAACAAGGATTTTTTGGGTAAGTCCTCAGAAGCTCAGTCAGCAAAAGTAAAGATAGACAAATGGGATTGTATCAGACTAAAAGGCTTCTGCACAACAAAGGAAACCAACAGCCTATAGAGACAGTTTGTAGAATGGGAGAAAATATTTGCAAAATATGCCTCTAACAAGGGCTTATTATCCAGAATATATAAGGAACCCAGTAGCAAAAAAAAAAAAAAAAAAAGATTTGATTTAAAATGGGCAAAAAACGAATAGACATTTCTCACAAGACATACAAATGAACAAAAGGTATGTGAAAAATGTTCCACATCACTAGTTATCAGGGACATGCAAATCAAAACCACAATGACATATCTTTTCACCTCATTTAGAATGGCTATTATCAAAAAGACAAAATATAATTGCTAGAATGGATGTGGAGAAAAGGGAATGCTTATACACCATTGGTGGAAATGTAAATTGGCATAGTCATTATGGAAAAGAGTATAGAGGTTGCTCAAAAAACTAAAATCTACCATATGATCCAGCAGCTATATGATTTATCACAAGGAAATGAAGTCAGCATGTCAGAGATATCTGCACTTACATGTTTATTGCAGCATTATTCACAATAGCCAAGATCTGGAGTCAACCTATCAACGAATGGATAATCAAAATGTGGTATGTATAAACAATGGAATGCTACTCATTGTCTGAAAATTCAAGAAAGCAATTCTATTTACAAAAGCTATCAAATAAAACTAAGAAATTTAAGGTGAGAAATCCTTAGAAAACTTTAAAAAGTCATAAAAAAGAATAAAATCCTGTTATTTGTGGTGACATGAATGAACCTGGAGGACATTATGTTAAGTGAACTAAGGCATAAAAAAACAAATACCACATGATCTCATTTATGATATCTAAAAAAGCCAATCTCATAGAAGTACAGAGTACAAAAGTGGTTACCAGGGGCAGGGGAGGGAAAAGGAGAGGGGATGGTGGGTAGAGATTGGTCAGTGTTTACAAAATTACCTGTTGATCATTTTAGTAGATCATTGTTACTTTTTTTTTTTTTTTTTTGGTAACACCATTATCAAGGTATAATTCACATACTATACATTTCACCCACTTAAAGTGTATAATTCAGTGGTTTTTAGGAGGAATAAGTTCTGGTATTTTATAGTATCGTACAGGGATGACAGTAAACAGTATTATAGTGTATATTTCAAAATAACTAGAAGAGGATTCTGAATATTCCCACCACAAAGAAATGATCGATGTTTGAGATGATGGATATACTAAATATGATTCAATCATTATGCAATGAATACATGTACTGAAACACCTCATGGGGCCCCATAAATATGTACATTTTTGTATCAGTTAAAAATAGTTCTTTTAAAAGTCAGTCGTACAAATCCTGAAGTTAGGGTGAATCGTCAGAACTGGCAGTGAACTGTACAGTGAATAGCACTAACAAAGATTTTCTCGAAGCTACTTGTAAGATCATTTTGGAAATCCTTGAGGAAACTCAGTAGGAGAAATTTTGATGATGCTCTGTGCTATAGATATGTTTGATTAGATTGTCAGTCAAAAGAGGCGGATTAACTTAGAAGGCGTCCTTATCAAACAAGATCGCCCTGTGATACACATTACTATGCTCAAAAGACAAGCTGAACCTCTGAGAAACAATATTAGCATGGTAACTTACAGATTGATTAAAAGCCCAAATGTTAGTGATTTGACCTCATGATAATTGGTACATTTTTTTGGTAGCATCCTTGTCAAGTTGAAATTCACCTACCGTATAATTCACCAGCTCAAAGTGTACAAGTCAGTCATTTTTAGTATATTCACAGAGTTGGGCAGCCATCAGCACAGCCTGTTTTAGAATTGAAATTTCTGTATTTTTCTGTATTCATTTGCCTGATCTGGACATTTCACAGAAGTGAAGTCATACAATATATGATATTTTGTGACTTTTGTCACTTTGTACATTTTCAGGTTTCATTTGTGCATGTATCAATACTTAATTCCATTCTATGGCCAAATATTAGGTTGGTGCAAAAGTAATTGAGTTTTTCCGTAATATTTCATTGCTTGGATTTTTAAATTATTTACTTATTTATTTATTTATTTTTGGGACAGAGTCTCTTTCTGTTGCCCAGGCTGGAATGCAGTGGCCTGATCACAGCTCACTGCAGCCTTGACCTCCCAAAGCTCAGATGATCCTCCCACCCTCAGCCTCCCAAGTAGCTGGGATCACAGGTGTGTGCCATGACACCGTGCTAATTTTAAGGAAGGGCCAAACTGTTTGTGAACGTGGTTGCACAGTTTTGCATTCCCACTAGCAGTGTATGAGGGCTCCAATTTTTCCATGTCCTCACTGACACTTGTTACTGTCTTGGCTTTTTTATTATAGTCATTCTCATTGGTGTGAAGTAGTACCTCACCGTGGCTTTGATTTACGTTTCCCTGATGACTAATGATGTTGCACATCTTTTTATATGCTTTTTGGTCATTTGTATTTCTTCTTTGGAGAAATGTCTAGTTATTTTACCCAGCTTTTACTTGTACAGATGTTTGATCATTGTATGCCTATCACATTGTAGAAACATGACTGAATACATAATTATCGACTGAATACATGAACAAATCACTATATTAAACGTTGATGCCTATAATGAAATAGTAAGTAATAACGTTTGTGAGAGCAGATAACCGTGTTTGTCTTGGTAATGGTATATATGCCCAGTACCTAGAAGACTCTCTGACAGTCTGGCATGGTATAGGTGTTTATTCACTAGGTGAATAAACATTTGATTGCAATGTGTTATATGATATCACCAATAGTTGAAGAAGATATCAATAAGATAAGATGATTTTTTTTAATGAGCATGATTATTAACTCAAAACCATTTGCAAATATGTGAACAAGTAGTGTCAAATCCAGGACGTATAAAACAAGGGCCCAGGACCACCGCGTTTGCCAAATACACTAGTAGCCGCTGCCTGGTTCACTTACAGTACTTGGCCTGTAGTTCATTCACCTCTTAATGGTTTTAGTGTCTATTTTTAATATTGCTATCAATACTCACAATACTCATCTTTTAAAATTTGTCCTTTTTAAAAAAGGAATGTATACTGCCGAGCTGTACATTGGCTTGGTCTGTAGAGGGTTGCTAGCTGAATTGCTGATTCTCCTTTTGGAAAACAATTAAATAGTAGGAGGTACTGACAAAGTAAAAACAAACCCAAACTGAATAAAGTGAATAAATTAATCATTCAACTAGTAGGTTTTAAAAGTGGCTTATTTGGCAGATGTTTTTTCAGGTTTAGACACTTAATCGACAACTGAAGGTTTTTGTTGCCAGTGTAAGATACTCTTCAGGGACAGGAAAATGTGAGAGTTGGATGAACACAGTAGGTGATAAGTGTGATCAGTTCTTTGGGATTTTAAAATTCGTATTCAGGCAAGTAAAGCTTTAGTAATGTAAGCAAATTATAATTTTTAAATAATCTTTACACATTAAAACCAGTTGTCTCATTATAAATGTTTCCGGTCAAATAACACGGCCAGTGGTTCAGAGGTACTTTTCTTACCAAAGACACAAGAGACTTAACCTCTGAACAAGACACAATTATAAAACATCCCCCAAGAATCACATAAAATGTTGCCACTTTATGGCATTCTGGGTATCTCTCCTCAAATTAAAAATTGTTGCAAATATTGTGACATTTTGATAAAAAGGAGACCTGCCTGAATGTGATAGAATGTCTTTTATTTTGAATTTACCCAGTCGTTCAAAATTGATAAATTCAGTGAAATAACATCTCACGTTGAAGTCAGTGAGATAGGCAATAAATATGTTTTTCTCGTGGCTATTTAAAATAATTTCAATTATAATTGGGCTCTGGCTAATATTCTATCATGATACTATCTATACAATTTAAATATTTTATACACTTAATAAGGAAGAATCCAGAGTTTTCATATGTAAGGCGAAAGAGGAGACTGAGAAGGTACTCCTTGCTGCAGCCATGCCTCCAGGCCTCATAAGAAGTTTCACTCTAAGCAACTTCGGCTGCTTTGAGAAGTTCCCGTATTTGTGGTTTTGGCTTCTCTGTCTCTTGCATGAATTAGAAAGCTCCCCCTTTACTAGATCCTCATAGCAGGTTCCTCACAGGAAAGTGACCATAAAGCCTGTAGGAGAACATCTCATGTACCGTGTAAATACATATAATTACTATGTACCGTTTAAATTTAAAAAGAAAAAAACATAAATTAAGCTGGGAGTCTTGAATAGAATTAGCATAGTGACTATTTACAGAAATCATTTTCAGAGGAAAGGGTTAAGTAGAGATGTTGAGGCAACCAAGCATTTGCAGTTACAGGAAGCCATTGCCGAAAGTATTGGAAAGGCATTTTAAGAATATATGTGCTGGGGGCCAGGCACAGTGGCTTACACCTGTAATCCCAGCACTTTGAGAGGCCAAGACGGGTGGATCTCCTGATGTCAGGAGTTTGAGACAAGCCTGGCTAACATGTCAAAACCCCATCTCTACCAAAAATACAAAAATTAGCTGGGTGTGTTAACATATACCTGTAATCCCAGCTACTCAGGAGGCTGAGGCACAAGAATAACTTGAACCTGGGAGGTGGAGGATGCAGTCAGCCGAGATTGTATCACTGCATTTCAGCCTGGGTGAAGGAGTGAGACTCTGTCTCAAAACGAAAGAGAATGTATGTGTTTTTAATATTTTATCTTAATAAAATATTTCAATACATTATTTAACATATACACTTATGTATATCTGTATATATGTTATATATATACACATATATATACAGATATACATAAACAGATGCATACACATTTTATCTTATCCTTAAAGAATAGAAGCATTTAATATACATTTAATCACAGAAAGTACAGCTAGCTGGCCCTGAAGTAACATCCTTTCATTATAATGTCGATGAAAAAAAAAGTCCCGTCCTGCTTGCTGGGACTGCTATCTGTGTGGAGTTTGCACATGTTCCCTACGTCTGCCTGGGTTTCCTCTTGTCCTCCTGTTTCCTCCCGTATCCCCGCCATGTCCCACAGCTATGCACATTAGATGAGCTGGAGTGTCTACATGCTGGTCCCAGTGTGCGTGAGTGTGGGGTGTGCAAGTGGCCCTGCACTGGGATGACATTCTCTCCAGGCCTGGTTCCTACCTGGCGCCCTGAGCTGCCAGGGTAGGCTGTAGTTACGCATGAGCCTGAACTGCAGTCAGTGGGTTGGAAAAGGAAGGAATGAGTCAATGAAAATTATTGTCAAATTAAAAATTTGTTAAGGTAGATGATAATCATACAAATGCACAACACTAAACGTTGCAGTACAAAAACCCTTCTCAAGCCTGCCAGATCTGCCGTTTTTGAACTGCGTGGTGGTAGGAGGTGCTACTTAAGATTTCCTGCCTTGCATGCATTTATTTCTCAATTGAACCCACCCCCGCCATGCCCACCATTTCTCATTAATGCACCAAAAATTGAGTAAAAAAATTACCTTACTTATTTTTATTAACATTTTTAAATGTATGTGTAGCTCACGTTTATTTCAGTGTTTAATATTAGAAGTGTTTGGGGCCTTTATTTAGAATTTTGATGATGTTTTTGTGACCAGAAACATGCCATAGGAACTTCAGTCTTGTTTATATCAATTAGCCTGTGGTAAAACTGGTTTCCTCATATGGC